AGACTCCCAACCTTATTTTCGAGCTCTATGATTCGGCCATCTTGAATAGACCCAACCTCATCTTTGAATTTTTTATCTCGTTGTAAGATCCTAAGCTGTTTTTGCAAATCAGATATTTCCAATTTAAATTTCTCTATCACTTTCTCATGAACTATGATAGTATTATCCTGTAATGAAATAGTTCAATAGCATTGCTCAAGCTCCTTTACAAGGGATCGAATTTTTTTTTCGTAACTCTTATTAATAGAAATCTCATCTCGAAGCTCGTTACGAAGCTCCTGATTCGTATCTAAAAGCTGTGAATATGCCGGATCAAGCATGGTATTTCATCCTAATTTATAGTACTATCATAATAATCCTATCTCGAGAATGAGCCTGCCACAAATTGTGATAGATCCCGATGAAGAGCTTCGTATAGTCTGCAGACTTCTGTTTTATAATATACCTGGTTTTCATTCCAATGCAAAAAAATTACATAAAGCGTGTCAGGAAGAAGGATATTCTTTTCGATTACAGGATACCACAAAATGGTTAAAACACCAATATATCTATCAAATCTATCAACAGCCGTTACCATGCAAAGCCGAAGCAAGTTTTTCAAAGATTAAGATTCCAAACAAGATTCACCAGTGCGATATTTTGTTCCACATTCACGATAATCAGGACGGTAAAAGGGTATTCATTTGTAGTTTTCTAGTTATAGATGTGGCAACACGTTTCAAGGATGGGCGCTCGTTAACATCGAGAAATAGTTTAGAGATCTGGAATGCAGTCAAAGAAATATATGAGGATCCTTCTAATCCTCTTACGTGGCCAACATTGTTAATGACTGATGGTAATGCTTCGTTTCAAGGTGCATTTGCGCGAGGGATGCAACAGTATAATGTCACAATATGTGTTGTTGACCTTTATAGTTTTGAGAGCATAGCTTTGATTAAAGCATTCAAGAAAAATTTAGCAAAATTAACATATAAGGTCCAATATGCTATAGAAGGGCGATTGGCTGAAGGGGAACGGTTAAGGTTATGGAATAAAATTCTTAAGAAGTACATTGATTTCATGAATAATAGTAAGACTCGCCTCATCGGAATGACACCAACTCATGCTATGACTTTGGAAGAAGTTAAATCACAACCTTCTAGTAAAGCCAAGCGGGCAATCGGGAAACACAAAGAGATAAAGCTAAAAAAGGGCACAGCTATTAGATACCTATTGAAACCGGGCGAGTTAGAAGGTGATCACCAGCATAGAGCAACTGATCCGTACTGGTCGTTGCGTGTTTATAAGATCAAAAAAGTAGTTATCGGAAGGAATCCACCACAACCAGTCTTGTATTATCTCGAGGATGGACCTATTGATTCAACTGCTCATTTGATCGGACGGAATCCAAAAAGGCCCTTTAAATATGAGGAACTCTAAGTAATCGAGGAACCCAATAAGATAGAGTATCCACCCGATAAATTTATGCGAAAATATCATTCTACTGCATTTGTTCATTATGTTCAAGTTGCTGATGATAATTTAACTGAAGCCCACCAATATGCTGAAAAACGTGGTGGTCAATGCCTAGGAAGAACTGGGCGAGTAAATGGTCATAATGTTTATTTTTGGTCTTGTGAAAATGGTGCGCATCAATGGGAGTATCCACTAAAATATATCATGAAAAAATTTGAATGGTGTCCGCTATGCCATCACACTAGTGAAAGAAATTGCCGATACATTTTTGAGGATCTGCTAGGCAAGAAATTCCCATCACGCAGGCCAAATTTTTTGGATGGAATGCAACTCGATGGATATAATGAGGAATTGCGTTTTGCATTCGAATACCAGGGTCCCCAACACTATCATCACAATAGTCTGTATCATCGGGAAAATGAAAGTTTAGAAACACAGAAGATTCGTGATCAGAAGAAGCAGGATATATGCAAGAACCAAGGTATATGCCTTATTGAAATTCTCTATACCGCTGATCTCCTGTCCTTTATCAGACATACTCTAATCGAGAAAGGGTTCTTGAATAATTCTCCCTGTTAGGTTAGAGAGAACTATTTTCTTGGCAATTTTCCATGACGGCCGTCATGCAAATTTGTAAGATTATTTTTAGAATATCATTAGTAATAGTTCGACATGAAAATAAAGAAACTTGAACTAGTTGAAAGGCTTGTATATCATATCAACAAGATTAAAGATGCCAAAAAATATAATGGACATTCGAGTGTTCCCCAATGGCCTTTCACTTTGGGTATCTTTGGCCGTACTAATACAGGAAAAAGTAATGAGGTTCTTAATCTCATGCTCAGAACTAAGCTCTATCGAATGTTTAATGGGAAGAAGGAAGGAACACGCTATATCAAGAATGATGATATACTATTGATTGGCCACAATTTTAAGGAGGATAAATATTTGTATCTCAAATCGGCCTATCAAATAATTGCTAATAGTCGAAAGCCATATTGTGAAAATATTTCATTCTGAGCTTTGAAGTCTGATAAGATCCTTAAGGTAGATTCATTCTCTCCAGACAGGGGTACAGTAGCTATATTCGAAGATGTATGTGCCGACCCAAAGAAAGTCAGGAGAAAATTATTCCTTATTTTCTTGAGGGACGCCATTACAACATCAGTTCGATATATGTATCCCAGAGTTACTTTGACTGCCCAAAAATAATACGAAAGAATCTTTTACACATCTGCCTATTCAATGGGTTGTGCACTATGGACGAGCTGAGCAGAATTGTGCGCCAATATGCTAATGACTGGCGTAGTGTGATTAAGATTATTGATAAGGCATTATGTGAGCAAAAATTCATTGTTTTTGATTTAACTGTACCTCGCGAGCATCCACACAGGATACGTCTCGGCTGGGACCAAATTTTGGAAAAAACTGCTTCAGCTAATGAATAGAATCCTCCCCCAAAGCTATTGATGAAGTGAGACGAAATGTATATTTTTTCTGGACTTCTAGGTCATATTTGGACTTGCCACGCCTCTTCATCCATAATTTCCTTTCATCAATGCTGGAATATACTTCCGGTTCTATATTTATATCATTATATCTTATGTGGGAAGAGATCCTATCAACAAGAGCGATAATTTTCCTATCCTTAGCAGAAATAATATCCTCCAGATGCCGGCATTTATTCTCTAACATGCCAATGGACTTTTCTGCTGATGCAATGGCTTCCTTTGTATCAGGAATTATACTCTTGAAAAAAGCTACCGAATCTGATAATTGGCTGACTTTCCCGCCACTCTCCTCCAAAGACCTGGTCATGGCTACCTCACGAGACTTATACTGCTCTTGCAATTCGAGAAGCTCTTCAATCTTTTTTTCCAATACCTGCTTTGATATACACAATTCCTCATTTTCTTGCCTTAATGAAGTTTCACAGTCGCTAGTAATGGGCTTCATCTTCTGATGCTCTTTTTGCTTAATATAATTTTCAACCACCTTATTTAACAAATATTCCACTTCGGGATGAATACTACTTGCCTGTTCTATCGATAATGGATATTTTCGTGAAGTAAGACGTCACCATACATCTATTTTAATGGAATGAGAGAGCTGGTTAAGTTGCTTTGAGTAATATATGTGAAAAGATGGTGTTAGTATACCGGTCATTTTTACTATAGGTAACTAATAAAAAATTTTAAAAATTTTATAGATTCAGAAATTTTATAAGAAAATTTTGAGAATTTCCCCAAAGGTGCTTTGCTACGCACCAATATTACGGATTGCATCATATCAGATAGGAGATCTGCTAGAAAACTCCGATTGGCAAAAAATTCACGTAATTTTGCAGGGGTGCCCTGGCTAAAATCTGCCAAGAATCTATGATCACGTCTTTCATGATACAGATAATGAGTTTTTAACTATTTCATTTTGCAATTGCTTATCTTTCAATTTCGCAATTCTGGCCTTAAGCTCAGCATTTCTGGCTTCAATCTTAGTAAACTTCTTTCTAAGTTCGGCATTCTCGACTTCGAGCCTGACAATGTATATTTTCAATGAATCGGTCTCATCTATTTCAGATTGCATACTAGTGTAATATAATATTAGTATGTTAATATTCAAAAGTAAAAAATCACGTGATTTTGGCGAATTCAGTTCACTAAAATTCAAAAAATTTTATTATCTGATACACCTACCCACACAAAAATATATAATTAAATATGAATATATGCTTGTGAAATTGATCACCAGGGTCGCTTTTATTGATATAAAAATACATAGGCTTTATATACTAAATTACATGATATGGCAATATAACCCGATGCATCTCTTTCCTAATTATTATATGGTAGCGTGGAAACAGTAAGACTTGGGTTAACATTTCGAGGTGGATGAGAGGTGGCTTGTTCTAATGCCTACACTAGAAGACTCTTATTCACGATCATTACATTTCTCAGGGTTAATAATAAACGAATAAGAGATTTCAGGCATGACTGGTGAGAGGATAATGGAATTTCTGCATGATCTAGATGGAAGTATCTTGGTATACTAGCCAGATCATTCACAAGAATATTCAGATACATAGTTATACCTGCAATCTGAATTCCCACAATACCAAATTAATTTCTGGCTGGTCTACATAATGCACTAATATAACTTACCCCATCCAATATTTCTCTCTATAACTTAACCTCATCGTCTGATTTTTTTGAGTTACTACAAACAATACGTGATGACTCAGTATACAATAGCTCAATAATTTTTTCATCTTGCTCTAATAAACCCATAATGTCAGGTTTTTTTCCTATCCGCTCTCCAATTATTCCTAAATTTCTTTGAGCTTTACTTGCTATACTTTGACGTTCCGCTGTACTTAGACAAATAGCACTATTTAGAAGATCGCTCAAACTCGTTCAACGTAAAGGAATTATGACATTTGCAATATATGTCTCTTCACTCTGCTTACTGCGGGATGTACTGGTTATAAATACAGAATTGCTTCATATTTCACTACTGATAAAGAAAGCGTGATTAATACAGTAATGTTTCATCAATTTTCGAATAAGCAAGTAACTTACATTATGCCTAGAATATATTCCATTATTTTTACTAAATCTGTCTCACTTTCTTTCCATTTTTTATTGTGAAGTATGTTCTTCATAGACCCTGCATTCTTCGTATTATTGAAAACTTTCACAAAATTAATACACTTAGCGACAACCAAATCAGGTAGGGCACATTTCATTTTTTCTCGAGGTTCCATGAAGATGTTTTTTTGCCTACTTCTCAAGTTTTTCACGATGTCTGAATTATCACTTAAAATCATGCTTGCTTCAGGGTCTCACCATGTGAGATCTGAAGATTCTATATCTGCTAAACTTTATTTAAGTGAACATAAAGGTTTATGTCCGCTTCTGTTGTAGGATGCTAAACACAAAAGCTTGTTAGTTTTAAACATAAAAAATCTTCAAACAGCATAGTAGTTACCTCGAGTTTAGATTTTAACTTATTAAGATTTTCTTCTATTTCTTCCTGAGTATGGCTGAGAGATAATTCTCTATCTATATTCAATACTTTTAATGCTTTTAGCCTGCGAATACTGATATATCTACTCTCCACCTACAGTAAATGTGATAAAAAAGTACCGGTACATTATTCCCATCCCAAATTCATGAATTATAATTCCTGCCACACGTGTGTTTTCAGGATTTTTTTATAAAGGCATATCGTCATTATTTTTGCTAGATAGTTACGCATAGTAAAGAGGAGCAGAAACCCTCAACATCCTAAGACATTGATCTTCTGGGCCAGTACTCCCTGACCTTCAGCTATGACATACCAAAACTAAAGCCAACATCTACTATAGCGTCGTCATTAAAATAAGAAACAGAAATAAAAAATCTTATCTATGTCATACCTGCAGTAATATTTTTAATAACTTAGTTCTTTGATCAAGATCTGTTAGTTTCGCTAATGATGAATTGACCGCTCGGTCAACTATTTTTCGTACTTTGTCATATGGAGGTAGAATATTATCCTCTATTGTTAAATAAACTACGAACGCCTCACAAAGAGTGTCAAATGATTCCTGCAATAAAAGAGCTTCAACCTTGGCTACTAAATTCGATATAATAAATAATATTAATAAAAATGTACGTTATAATATGAAGTTTTCAATAACCTAAACATAAATTTTCTATACCGTCCTTTTAAATGCCACCATTTCTCATATTCTCTTCATATTGGGAAAAAGAGATAGGAGAAATATGCAAGGCACTTTATGCTAAAATTTTGTGTTAGAGAATAAGAACATGTGAAATGTGTATTAAAGATCTCAATATTTACAAAGGCGCTAGGGATATGCATATACATGCTTTTTTTCTTTATTTTACTTGCTAACCGCTCAGTAATAAAGGCCTAGTAGTATTATACAAATACACTCTGATCGAAATCTAGTAGGAATAGCCAGAGAAAATATACTTATAAATAAATGCTATTCAGATAGATAAGGAAAAAATTCAAAATATTTTGGGAATCGATTTCTTATATGTGAAAATTGATTTGTCGCACAAGCAGTCACACAGAGTTATAGATGATTTGTGATGTATCATCTATTACATCATATACACTTTAACGAGGATCGAAAACGTGTTAATTTATATCACACATGGCTACATGCATTGTGGCTGGACAATATATTATTTTATTAAGATAATATTCGGGATCTGATGATCTGAAAAATTCAGGCGACACATTTTATTTCATTGTAAGAATTATAATCTGACACGCTCACAGATTGATTTTATACTCTATGAATTAGCTTTATATTTCTCACATTCTGTAACTCTAATAAGATATTCAATGTTATCTTTATCAATATGATAATATTCAGGATTCTGTAGTCACTTTAACTGGTTAGTCCAATCTGAACCTCTAATGATTATATAGCTCGCTGGTATAATATTTTAAAAATAATATCATATGTTACATTAGTTAATCTCACATATAATTGATTTTTCTTCTCAAATTCCCAGTCAATATAAGGAATGCAAGAAGTTATATCTAAATACTTCTTATCATCAGGAGTACCATCATTCCTCACTACCTTCTAAATCTATTTTGCCAAAGATTCAGGTCTCTTCTTGTAATTCCTGTAAGCTTGCTAGATAACTGTTGTATAGAAATTTTTAAAGCCATATTGATAGTAGTATTTAGAAATCAAGAATCCCCAAGATTGCTTCATTGACTTTTCTGAAATACTTTATTAAAATGGTTATACAGTATATTGGAGGATCTAATCTGAAATAGGCAAATCAGGTTTTTTATCCTGCAGGTGGTATAGGATCATCTAGAATATATCGAATATAGCGCAAAAAATAAATTATATTTCAGTTGAAAGTAATAGATTATAATTAAAATATTTTTTTGGAATCATTCAGTTAAACAAGTTAAACAATCGTGACTTTTGTCCCATCTCCCAATCTAAGCACAGTGTCTTTTGGCTGATTGAGATGATTTAAGTTATTTTGTTTTGCATATATAGATGAGATAAATATTTCACTTGGAGAAGTCAACGAGTGTGGCTCATCCCTTACAGAATCCCGATACTTAATTTATCAAAGGCTTGTTGCTTAACCCTTACACATCCAAGATCACTTAAAGGATCAGAACATTCTTGGTCCCAATGTCCCTGCATCATGTTCTTAGCTTCAATCAATTCAACGAATCTATACCATCCATGGTGGTATGTCTTGGTTGGCTTTATTTTATTAACTTAAAATGATTTCTAACAACGAAAGCAGATTGCCATATTGTTTTATGGATTTTAAGACGATAATAAGAATGATATAATTCGTCAAATTTGCCTTCACCAAATCCTGCAAACAAGCAGAAACTATGGTATATACTATTTTCATTTTATGATAATAAATATTGGAGAGTACTTTTAACTCGTAATCCCCACTGCACTGGAGACTCTCCCTTTCTCATTATTGATAATTTGTCATAGATTTTTTCATTAACAAAAAATTTTTTGAAATCAATACCACTCCAGTAATTTCCAAGATATGTTCTATAATATTCCATATTATATCCAGAATGATTACTGACGGGCTTAGGTAACCGCCATTGTTTCTTTATCAATAATCATATTAATATTAATAGCACTTGCCAAGGTAACAATCGTCATATTTAGCAAATTATATTGATTATATTGATTTTATTGATTTATAGTGTTTTTAGCGAATTCTTAAGTAATATATACTATAGAATATCATTATTCAAATTTATACGGATTTGCTGATTAGCGGTTAATTGATTTGTAGCCGATTTGAGAGACTACATATTGCTAAACCCAAATTCATTTTTCTGAAAGCAGATTATGTAGTTATTCGTTTTGCAAAAAAATAAATAATATCATGGATAATTTATGAATATAGTTGTGATAAATAACGTTATTATTCAGTTGAAAGATATTAAGTCTATTTCCTTGCATTTTTTTCGCAAAGAAGCCCAGTATTCATCAACATCAATAAAGCTAGGCGCACTTGCACTACATCACATTAATGCATCAAGCTTTCGTGGCAATAGAGGAGGAGTTGACCCATTTAGTGCTTCGAATCTTTGATTTAACACATGATGAGAAATTGGTAAAATCATTTCTTGTCTGGCAGATGAAATATAACCTGGCTCGAATTTTGGAGCACTTGGCATAGTATTTTCTGCTATAGTTGCTTTAGATTGTGCATAATTTTCATATCTAGCTATGAAATTCGCATCATGATCATATGATACTGATGTCAACTTATCCTTTTCTGAGTGTGAGGCAGAATGGGAGAAAAGCTCTAGACGAAGACGATTAATTTTAGCTTCTTCTTATAATATGTATTGTTTATATTGCCAGATCTGAAATTTCCTTCTATCAATAGATTTGAGAATTTCATTTCTTCTTGCATGTTCATTCGAAATAGTATTTCCAGAAATACATCTCTTCAAGTGGCTATCTCGATAGTAATTAGCTTCACTAAAACTATTTTCAGGTATGAAAACTAAGAAGTCGCATACACTACAATATATGTAATTTGATGGAAGACCATGAACTCTATTACTTCTTTCAATTAATTTTCCACACATTGTAATGTATCCATTTCCAGAAAGAATTCTTAGATTCTCTTCAAGTATTTTTCTAAATGGATCACGGATATAGAAGCACCACATTTCTGGTGTTTCATGATCATATCGTTCATCTAAAGAACATAACGCTTCTAATATTCTTCTATATTCTTCGAAGTTTATATCACTACAGCCTACAGAAACTAGCTTATATTGGGCTCTACTATCTAAATCCATAATAGTGTTTTAGTAGATTATAACAGATTATAACGATTTTATTAATTTTAGCAATTATTTAGCAACTTATACTAGATAATATCACCATTCAAATTTATATGGATTTACGTTCCCTTGTTCTATCAAATTGTGGGAGAGAATCAGGTAAAATTTTTTCTTGACTTTTTTCGAAAATATATTTAATGAACACCCTGAAATCTTTGATTAAGGAGGCAGATTTGTAGCCGATTTAGTGGACTACATACTGTTAAACCCAAATTCATTTTTATTCGATTACGAGGATTTATATAAGATCATATCTCTCGGTTATATTAATAAATCGGTTTGTGAATCTTTCGTGATTAACAGGTATTATGACGTATATCGTATCACAAGTACCACCCTAGCTCTCAGACAGTTCCTGGCACTTCCTCGCAATCTTTTCGCAACCTTCCCGTAACTCAAATCACGAGATAATCAGCTAATCAGATTTTGCGCGTGCAGTAACTAAGCCACCATTATTTATTATTCGATCAATCATTAGATTGATCATTATATTTTTAGCCTTAATATAATTACGACGCTAATTTATTCACAGCTCATTTAACATTAAATCGATACGTGAAATCACATGACCAAATTTCAGCAAGGAAAAATCATGTACACAAAAATCACGATATGGTATATGTATTTTTATTATTTCAATGTATACAGTAAACCCCCACACCACAAAAAAAGATAAAGCCTGAAGTATAGGCGGATTAAAATTTCCATTACAATAATAAAATCATTTTTTGTCACTTTGCTAAGAAGTTGATGCACAGTTAAAATGTAAAAGTGAAACTTTTATTTTTGTAAATGAATTATTAAGAAGAAAGCCAAAGAAAGCCAGCAAAAGCTAACTGATACAAATAATTAGTGATTGAGTAATGAAACTTGCTAAATTGTTAAGGAACTACAGGAGGCGGGAGTTTCAGTACTGAAATAACTTTTTGAGGCGACGAATTTGATAACCTACGATAGGATTGATTTGTCGGTGTAGATGGTGCATTTAACATCTCAATAGCACGACCAACTCTTTTCTGAATGAAAGAAATAAATAATCAGAAGTTATGCTTTGGTGTAATTACAAAAGATCATTATACTCTTACCGATAAGCTGTAGAAATTCGAAATAACCGGGATAATAGTTAGAAAATTGGCATGTTCAGTTGGCAAGATCATTTTTCCAATTTGGTTAAGTCTGTATACACCATCAAAGTTGAGATCCATGCTAAATAATTTAACATGAGAGCCTGTTGAATTTATATCTGATTAGCTTGGAAAATTGTCCGTTAATCTTAGTAAAATTATGATAGGAACAACTTACCAGTAACAAGTATGCCATATGTTTCAAACCCCGGTTTATTACCTATATCATCTAAGGATCCCTTCATGAACTCGGCGAGTTTTATCAAAGCTTTGTTCACAACATTATTAGGTGTAGATGGGGGCTTTATTTCTCCATAGGTGATTTCATGTTTTTTATTATCTTTGCTGAAGAGAACCCGAAAATCAGGTTTCCTTCCGTGTGTGTGATTGTCGGCTTTCCGTCGGCTTTTAGAGCTTGAAGACTCTCCGTTGGCCCTAGAATTACAAATTTAAGGAAACAATAAGTATATATTAAATAATTCATTATGAAGATTTCAGACGCATTAAACTTACCAAACGAATTTATAATCATCTGTATTAAAAATTTCCTCTAACAATACATGTAAATATCTATGAGCGAAGGTATCTTCGTCCATTTTCTGATCAGTTTCATTTGATGTTAAGGTCAAGAAACTACAGAATATACAATAGTCATAAGCATAACAATGATTATTCTTAATTAGGTTTAAAACTTACAAGTTTCTCATAACAAGTTGTACGCAGTCAAATATTTTCTTCTCTTCCTCGGTCATTGCGGGGTCCCATTTCGCCCAATTTTGATGCCATGATTTTAGTAACAAATCTTTATTCGTTAGAAGCTAAATCACAAATTATTACTTTTGTTAATTACAGTACTTATAGTAATGTTCTTAATATCCAAGAAGTTATTACAGAATTTACCTCGCTATAATCCAAGATCATGAGCTTAACAACAACTGGCAATGTTTCGGGGGTTAGTAGTCTAGGCAACGCACTCTTCCAGATCTGATCGGAGCATTTGACATACTCGGGTTTGTCTTCTTTCACAAATATTATCGAAGAGAGACATCTACAATTATATATAAAGTTAAATATTGAAACAAAATCTATACTTTGTATGGCAAGATACCTACAATATTTGGTCAACATCTGTAGCGTATGAGAGGGATGGGTTGTTCTTTAACAGTTCCACTGTTTGTGTTTGAAATTCACGAAAGCCTTTGGAAATATTATATCCATTCATGATCCACTATAGGTAAGAGATCAATGATTAACGACCTATCGCCATATTCGGATGAAAATTTTTTCAATACTCACATCATGATCCGAACTACGATCAACTATAATTTTCTCAGTAACGTGCTTCCACGAGAGGATCATCTTTGGCTTGATAAATCAATTAATTTGCTAGTTATTTTGAAAACTATATAAATGATAACTTAGTATTTACCTTTTTGGATTCATTCGAAATTGAAGAATCAGTAAATTCCACATCATCTGACTCTACACCCTCTTTATCCTGAAATGTAACATACGGATTAGTAAAATGTTTACTCATCTATTTACCTCGGCATAAGGTAATTTATTCCTTAATATATACCGGATTGTCGATAGGATTATCAATATTTTCGAACTCATCACTGGTTGATTGGCCAGCGTCAACGATAATGTTCTGGTTACTTGATTTATTTCTCTTAGCACCATTGCTTGAGATTTTGCTTCCAGTATCTTCCATTAATGTACGCTTTCTGGTCTTCATTTTAACATTTTTAGCAACATCAGGAGCACTTCGGAAGAAAATATCTATCTCTTCCTGAAGAAATACAAAGTCAAATCGCAATACAGATCAGAAACGAGCTTGTGCACATCATATGTCAAACAAAACGAAAAAAAATTACTGGAGAGTCCTCAGTTGATGCTTCGGTTGATTCTTCGTTGTAATCATCAAAGGAATCATCCCTTCTGTTATAACATGGAGAGGGTGTAGTAACGGGAGAATCTTCAGCTAAACCCGATGTTTCATCTTCTACGCTTCGTTCTGATGAATTGATATATTCTGGAGCTCGCCTCTCGTCATCTCCACTAGTAGCTTTGATCTATGTGCACATCAAAAGGTTTATATTCATTTATATAACAAATTTAGAAATATCTTTAAATCTACAACTTACCTTTTTTACCGGTTCTGAAATTTCCCCTCTAATATTCACATCTCGGCAACGTTTTACACAACGGTTGTTAATTATCTGAGAATCTCCGGTTGTTAACTGTTCCACCTATTTTATGACCAACGCAACAGCCACAACTATTCAATTATCTTTTATCATATAAAATTTTTTCAGATTTAGAAATTCACCTGCAGATGTCCGATATTCAGATATATCATCCGAATTTTGTTTCAAGTTCTTTGACGATGACCAATCCTTAAAAAATAAAATAGGAATAAGCACTTGCAAGAAACATTTCACAGTATCTAATCAAACTAATATAGACGGCTTGCGCTAAGCGTCGAACACTGCAGACCAAGAGTCCAGCTTGCGCTAAGCGTCGAACCAAGAGTTCATCACCGTTGAAGAGCTCATTTCCGTAAACCAAGAGTCCCAGCTTGCGCTAAGCGTCGAACCAAGAGTTCTTTACTGATGGACTAAGCTCTTAATATACAATTTTTGTCTGAGTAATGAACATACTTTCCAATTGTTAAGAATCGTTTCAGCCTTTTCTTGACGAGTTTTATCAAATTCAGAATTCTTTGCCACCTTTGTAAGATCCTTTTTTACACAATCCAATACATTCCTATATTCCTTGTTTTCTAATTTCGCTCGGTAATATTCTGTTATGTTAACATACGTCCAATCCTTGATCGCTGAAACATGGTAAAAGGCAATGAGAGCGGGATTTGATTGTGTGGTCATACTTGTATTTGCGAAGAAAGAGCGAGTGAAAAATAGATCATGAGTCGATTATGTCTGAAAAGGATATAGATCATCTTTTATTTCGATGGAAGAGGAAACTGATCTGATTCGTTGCACAGATAACAGATCGCAATTTCATCACATGATTAAAAAAAAATAAAGCCCAATGTGGGCATGCTTTATTGTTTATTCAGTAAATGATTTTTTAGATAAGCGAATGAAATGTATGATGCTATCAAAGAGGGAGGGAGTACGCGGATCCTAGGCCATTTAATGCGAGTCCCAGCATCAAGTTATTTCTTTGCTCTCATATTTTCGAAAAATATCTACAGCTAATTTGTTTTTATCACTAACTAAAAGATTCACATCCCTATATTCTTTTACTACACTAGATTTTCGAAATAAATTATCCCACCCATATCTACGAAATTTTTTTCTATCTATATCACTACCATATGTACAGACTATGTAAAAGATTCTTTCCCGCAAGAAAACTTTCCTGAGATTAAATAATTTTGAAACTATAGCATAAATTGGGGATTAGCAACTGAGGTAAAAAAATAAGTAATGCAACATTACTGATTCACTCTTATCGTTATGAATAATTTTTACATCATTCCACCCCACCTCGTATTTAAGAAATTTGTTGCTTATCACCAATACGGTACTGCGCCAAGTATCAAGAATTCAGCACGTGAAGATGCTTATTATTTGATATACTGCGCCAGACTTTTGCTGTGCCGTGTGAGTAATTTCACTGTGTCTATTGTACACGTGATGATGATCAAAGATTTTCTCGGTGAAGATCAAAATGCCGATATATAACAAGAAGAGCAATATGTCCGTTTTATTTTAGAACATCTATAGAGGTGGGAAAATCAATTAATATTGTGATGACATGTCTCAAGAAGCTAGTCAAGCAATGAAACCAATGTACCTTATTATTGCTTCGCGGAAATATGTGAGTTCATTTTGATTATTAATATCAATGATTTTAATAATGGTAAGCTTTATTGGTTTGAATTTTTTTGTTTTACTTATGCAAGACAGATAAAAGAGTTCACTAACCGGGACATCACCTTTTTATATGATTCGCAGGATCAATTTTGGAATACGCTTTTAAAGAAATTACATTAATATAATTACATCATGAAAATCTGATCAACGGCCTCTCCTTAATTTAACAATAGTATATAAAGATCGTCAGTGAGAGTTTTTATTAATAAATTTCATTGAGTACATGCGGGAAAGTTCGAGAACAAATGCTATACTACGGTTATACTGTAAATAAGTTATAACTAATAACTGTAGATACTGCGATCTATACAAAAATAAATTACAAGAATTGAATGCTAATCTGTAATATATAACAAGAACTATCCTATATATTGTACTAATACAATATCCTATCATTAATTCCATAATCCATTTCATTTGTGCCTTCGTGATCCTCAAAAAATCTCAGAACGAAAAATACCATTAGCTTGTAATCCTGAGTCGTTTCATTGAAATACATAGTCACAACTGGAGTACTTCCACCTTAATTGTGCAATGTTTCGTACAAATTTTTTTTTCGCCAACACTTTTTTCATATTGTGGTACAATGTCCTATTTTTGTATTTGCAAAACTTCAAAGCATTCGGCAAGAATATCATACTGCACATTTCAGGTGATCAGATTCAGTCTCTTTTGGATAAGCCACCCAAGTGATTCGAAAAAAGAAACAAAGTAATAACCTATACGATAATTAGGCAGTCTATGCGAATATGTGATTTCGCTTGATAATTCTCCTGCCTTTAGCGTTTAACTTCGTCGCTCTGGCTCAGCAGACGGTTACTAGAAAGATAATAGGACTCATCATTGGGGAGGTTTTTCTTTCGTATTCTCTATCATGATAGTAATAACCTCTATCACGATCACTGTATTCATTATATTCACCATATCCATCATCATCATCTGAATCGTTCTTCAGGCTCACGCGCTCTGGCATTTCTTCATTCGTTTCTTTCATCAGGACAGAATCAAAATACACACAATCCTTCGCACAATCTTTTAAGAGCATTTTGTAGTAATCGTCCTCAGCTTTGAGCGAATTGCTTGGGCTGACTTCTTTGGAATTATCAGAAGAATTAAAGTCATGGGTTAAAGGGATAGGTGCTGTTGATTCGCTTACCTCTGCTAAAACCAAGGGATTTGCTTGCATCTTTGACGTATCAGTTTGACTAGAAGAATCATCGTTAATAAAATTGTCCTAATCCTCACTGAAATTCGTACTGGGCTTATTTGAGAAATAATCCATAATCTTTTGGATTTCATCATTAGTAAACTTTAATATTTCATTCGCATTATACGACTTGATATACTGGATTTTATCCAATCCTATTTTTTTGAGAAGCTTGTAGATCTTCTCAGCTCTCTGAGTTTTTTGCGCAAACCATCTCTTGTTATGTCTGAGAGTGGCATCCCTGTATTTTGAGATCTTTTTTTACGAGGGATATTAACTTGCTTTACGACTTCATTGTATATTAGACCTCTTGCCTTCTTTTTACCAATTTTATTATTATCACACAAGGCCTCTAACTAAAATACGAAATTTCTTCCATAGTGGTACCAGCATAATATTTCTTCTTGATTTGCTTCCAATCTGTGCTCTTCTGCAATAAGCGCTTTATCACATAACTGGGCCAAATATTGAGATATCTCTATCATAGTAGTCCCATGAAATGAAGACACTAATGCATCTGAATTATTAGATTTCTGAGACTGCGTGATCTCAGAAATTTTAGTCACATAATTTTCTTTGGGTACAGATGAAGAGATTTCTTGAATCAATCCCTGCCCATTTTTTTCATTCTTCTTTTTCTTATTGCGTCGCTTTATTTCACTACTAACAATTTTCTTATAAGCCTCAAGCAAGAAACTATCCATATCTTTCTCTTCTAACGGTTTGCCATTAAAGCACTTTGCAGAGTTAGTAGATACCGTCGTCACCAGTTCTTGTTTATTATAGCAAATCTCTTCAGGAAAGGAATTATCTGTTTCCACATCTACCAATGGTTTCTCATGATACTCAGTAACTGAATTAAAGTTAAATGTACTATTGTCAGAAGGATTATTATTATATGTCTGCTCTTCTACTGGTAAGGAAATCTGTTTCACTATCATAAGTCTAGTCTCAAGTTCCTTATTTTTTTGCTCCAGTTCCTCAACTTTAACATCTTGTCTAGTATTCTCCTCCATAATTTGCTTTAAAAGTTCAGCTTTTTTGGCCTCAAGCTCGGCATTCTTAGCCTCAAGTTCAACGATACGCTGTTTCAATACTTCAAGCTCAGATGTCATTATTGATAAATTTTATATAAGAAGTAAAATATTCAAAAAATAGTTAGTATATATAATTATATAGAAACTGTGTTATTGAGAAATAGGTTATAAAGTCACCAGATTTCCAGGATCACGCGGTCTCAGAAAAATGCAAGAAAATTTTTATTAATACATGCAAAAATAAATATAAATGTTCAGAACTATGCCCGTGATACATATTATTTTTTGATAAATTTTTTGATTCTAGTCCTCTTGTTAGTCGGGAAACTATCTACACTAACCTGATCCTTCAACAACCCTACAATTATGCCAATTACCCTTTTCACGTTGCTTCAAAGTAATTCAGGATTATCTTTAACTGCGGACTTTGTAAGATTAATCTGATACTCACTACCACTTGTGGAGAAGATGTCATCTGAAGTATATATGATAAAATGCCACTCTATACCTGTGGTCACAATACCATAGATATAGTCAAAATAGTCATTTCCAAATGCTTGATCCAAAGTTCATTTCTTTTTATTGGTCTAGAATGCATTTTCAAGTTGCGCCAGATTCTAAGAGATAAACCATCATTAATATCATTTGCTATGCAAACAAGCGAAAATGTGGATAGTAGACCTACCTGTGCATATCCAATCTTAATATTTCATAGTTTTCCTTCAGTGATGCAAAAAAGATCTTTTAGACTTTTGATTGCATAGTCCACTCGACCTATTGCATTCTCACCAGAAACATCCTTTTGAAACACTATAAATATATCTTGGGAGATAAGTTTTTTAGCTATAGCAATGAATGCATAGAGAATTGATGAAATAAATTCACAGTGTGTCGCTTCGTTAGCGTCAGTCATAGTTTTCACATTTGAAAGTTTTAAGATTATATCCTCCATACAGTAATTAAGAATCTTATTATCATTATTGATATTCTCGAAGACTGTAGAGAAAAAAAATAAGGTTAATATGGCTAACTAGATAGTTCTGGAAAATTAATCACCTACCAGGAGTAAACTGCTTGATGCTCGTTATATCTTCCCCAATGACCTTATTTTTACGTAACATTTCCTTCAGGTCGTCGAGAGATTTAAGCAAGGAATAATTTTGTAACTTCTGGCTGAGACCTTTGATAAATTTTACTAGTGTTGTCGTGGAACTAGCTTTCAAGCCATAACTTCAAATCCTCTTTAGTTGTATCAAGAAAGGCAAGGCCAGAAATTTCTTCTTTACGTAAAATTTCGAAGTGGAACTCCTTTAGCTTCAAGTTTTTCTTTTTCAAATATTCAATAAGCTCCTCCATATTAAAATCCTTAACAATGTCCGACATTGTTCGTGAAGAAACTTCTTCTGTTATTGAGCTTAGAGAAGAAGGTGTAAAGGGTTGTGAAGACATGGTTTTTATATATGTAAGTTTGTACTTGCAAAAAAATATGCACTTGACTGCAGTTACAGATAAAGCTGGTTTATAGATATAAAAGTATTTTTGATTTCTGACGCTCAGAGAGAAATAATAGATTTTTTTATATTGATTCATAATGCATTTGCTCAATATATATGCAATTAAGATGTAGTACAGGATTGTCAGGCGATTATATTACATCAATACATGTGACATTTTTCAAGATTTACGTCAAGAACATAATATATGCTTTATTTAAATAAAAAAACACTGCCAGAGCATTT